GAAGTAGGCGAAGATGGGGGGAAATGAAGAAGGGGGGGGGGTACTCAAGGGATTACCCGGTAAACTTGCCAGCCCTTTATTAGTATATTCTCAATATTCATTATCATTATCATTATAGTATATTCTCAATATAAGATACTTAAACAGAACAGTATTAACATCTAACAACAATACTTCACAATATAGAGACCAAAAGCAAAAGATCTCTAAATCTAATTTTCCAATCCTTATATCTTTGCATTCTGATGTGATAAACTTTAATATTTCAAATTGTGAATTACGATCGATAAAATTGATAAAAATAAGAAATGTTTACGCAAATAACTTCCAAGATAGGGGGATGACATAATTAGAGTTTAGGGCAAATGTTTAGTTCCTGTTTAATTCCCTTATAATCCATAGTCGACAGAATAATTCCCGGAAGGAAACACTTTTGGACGGACTATTGACAAAAACACAGTTTCCGGACAGGAAAAATTCAGAAATAAATCTGTTATAATAGTCTAAGGTTTGATTAGGGTCTAAAGAGAACCTTAAATGAAAATAGGGAAAAGGGGACAAAAGAAAATCAAGAAAGATAGATTTGAAACTAAAAGCAAAAGAAAATCAAATAATAAGAAAAGAAATAGAAGTTCAAGATGTCCTTGTATTCAGTTCAAAGGGAAAACTAGAAACTAGAAACAGGAAATTAAAAAGAAAATTCTTTTAAAATGTCGTTCATATATCCCTCCTCCCCCTTCATACATAAGAAAGGAAAATATAAAATTTAAATGTTTTAACTTACACTCTTTCCCTTACCCTCCTACACTTCCACTTCCACTTCCACTTCCACTTTCACTTCCACTTCCACTTTCACTTCCACTTCCACTTACACACTTACACTCTTATACTTGTACACTTACACTTCACATTTTACAATTTTTTTCAATGACATTCGCTTGGCTTTTCGTCTTTATGATTTATGCAAAAATAGTTTAATTATCTGTTTATTTTCACGCTTTTAACATTTTTATTTTGAGTTCTGCGACTACTTTAAATTATGGGTAGAAATTAGTGAAATTCTAGTGGATTTTGTTTTTTATCTGTTTTCTTTTTATAAACAGATTAATTCTATGCCCTTTACACAAAAGCCGAATTGTAACTAGCTCTCATATTTGACACCAAAGACGTCATGCATAACTTCTTCAAAATCTCATTGCCTCCTTCACTATAAAATACGGTTCATTTCATGTACCGGGCCAACTTTTCAGCCGCTAGGGCAAGCTGTACGGTACACATTCAGACTATGTGAGGCAAAACAGACCAGGACACCAAATTATGGATCCCCTTACGTCGACCTATATATACTTTGTAGCAAAATTGGACGCATTTATAATGACACTAGACACTTTTAAGAGTTTGAAAAAACTGTGGAAAATATTAGATACATTTGAAATATATTCCTGGGAGCAATTTTATACTTTAATAAAACCGAGTTATATTCCAGACATACATCAGGAGGACAGGGACANTTAATTTTATTATTATTTACCTTGAGGGTAGGGGTCTAGATTTAGCAGCTCTGAGAAAAAGAAGAGGAATGTATCTTGTCTGAATAACAGTAGCACTATAGAACCAAACATTTATTCAAAATAATTTATTTTCTTGAAGTAACAAGCACAGGACTGTGTGTATGCTGTCCAAATAAGAAAAGGTGTTACTGCTTTCCTTTTATTACAAACTATGAATAATGTTAGATAAAATAATCTTAGTTTGAAATATCCAACCATTAGGTTCAACTGGTTGCAAATATATAGTCATAATCAAAAAGACCCGGAATTAATTTACAATTAATCAGATGACTTTACAATTCGCTTTTACAATATGATTTATGAAACGATTATCACTAAATAGCCAAAGTCCTACCATTTCCAAAATGTGGTCTGTTTTTTTTAGCATTTAAAATTTCCATTAGATAATTATTAAGTAGCCTGATTCGCCTGGTTAACTGCCAATTAATTTCGGGTTTTTTGGATATAAATTTAGGGAATTGAAATTTTGAGTTTATGGCAAAGACCCAATTCCTTTCTTTATATGATAAAATAAGTTTGGTTAAAAATTTATTTTAATTTACTAAAATGGCTTATCGGTCTACTTTTAGTGAGAAAAAAACTAAATTAATGAAATTTATCGGCCAATTTGTTTTCTCCAGTTTACCAGACTACAAAATAAATTCTGATTATATATTTGTACTATCTCGTGTTTTGTGTCAATGAAAATGTACTATACTAAGCTTTTTGTGCACTTTGCACCCATCTTCTTTTTTCATTGTCAACATTTAAAAAACAAAACAAAAAAAAGTTCGCGGATTTCATGAAAAATGTTTCGTGGATTTTGATTTTTTTAAAAATTTTGATTATTCCTACACCTTCCCTGGGGTCACGCGAAATCCCACACAAAATTTGGGCCCGATCGGTTCAGCCCTTTTATTTATCATTAAAGTTGCTAAACTTCCTTCTCCATTAAACAATTCATAATCAATGTGTCTTTCTTCACAGACTGCAACAAGAGAAACCATATATATTATTAGTACCATGTTTAATTTTGGATTTGTGTTTGCATAAGATAAATGCAATTGTTAAACCTCTAAATTCTTGATAGAGGGTGGGCCCGGCATTCAGGGGTTTTGAGAAAATTTGCTGAAATAATCAAAGCTTTATTGAAAAAAGTTTTTTTAAACCGAAATTTCATAATTGCATTTGTTCAGACAATTTGGTAAAATTGCATTTTAAGGGACACAAATATTCAAATAATAAAGAAACTTATATTTTCTAATCTTTGCAACATGGTGAAAAAACCTATGGAATTTCAAACTGCCTCTAACTAAGTAACAAAGTTTTTTCATAAACTCAGATTTTTAAATCTCTATTTTTTTGCAGCTTATAGTCGTAAACCTTAGATTTTTACGAATTCTATTAGATAAAATAATTTTAGTTTGAAATATCTAAGGTATTTGACATCAGGTTGCAAAGATAAACATTTGAATAGTAGAATTTATGAGTAGTGTTCAGTTGTTTGTAAAAAATATAAATTTAAAAAATTTGAGCTTGTGGTAAGTCTTCAGATCTGCCAATATTGAGGAAAACTGTCAATTTTGATCACACAAGCCAAATAATAAGATAATTGCCAATTGCTTATCGTTATTAATGTTTAAAAATGTTAATTTGCAGATTTTCCTGTAACTATTGACACGAACGATTGTTTAAACCAGAAAGGGATCTCATTTTCTTAAACTGAGAAAAGTAGTTTGAGATTTTGCATTTTGTAACGATATTGGCTGTTAAATCAATTTTGAACAATGTCGGTGTTATAACCAAGGTTGTCAAGGTTGTATAATAGGATTGCTTACTCTCGATGCGCATCTATGAACGGAAAATGTCGTCCCTAAGCATAGATAGATAAAATCCGCATATGACGTTACTGATCGTGGAAGCGAGAGTAACAACATATGAGGATTCTATCAATCTATGATTAGGAGACGACATTTTCCGTTCATTCGCATCGAGAGTAAGCAACCTTATTATACAACCCTAGTTATACCTTTTACAAATTACGAAGTTCTAGGCGACATTTTTCATCGTAAGACTTAATAATAACGTCGACTTTATCTCTGCTTTTTATTCGATTTTTATTTTGTTGAATAAATATTTTCCTGATACAGTTTGCAAGACAAGATAGTTTCTCTAAACAGTCAGCATGTAGTCTCCAGTTCCTGGTAGAGTTAATAATCTCTTCCATATTCAAGATCCCCAGGCTCAACTCCTGGCTGTAGGATCCTGTGAGAAAGAAGGGCATCGTTTTGATCCGTTTTTTGATCATATTCAAGGGTTTTTGCTTCCACAAGACGGAATTGAGTCTTTCCAACAAGATCTAATTTTCTTATTCCTATATTTTTGCAACCTGAAGATGTAAAACTTTGACATTTAAAATTATTTTTTTGGTGAAACAGAATTCATATTTTGAAATATCTGACATTGGGTTGCAAAGATATAGATATTAAAAAATTAGAGTTTGAGGCAAAAACTCGGTCCTTTACGAAATCTTCTGTAATTACGAATTTTACTTTAACTCAGCTTGCTTTTATAAAGTTATGAAAACAAAAACGTTCCTGGTTATATCTTCTATATCTTACGACAAAATATTTTTATATTTTTCGTAAGGTTATTGTTTTAACAACATTTCCAAATATATATGAGCTAAATTTTTATAGCTAGATGTATCGTCGGTGCGATTCGAGAAATAAAAGATAGATTTATAAAGTAAAATTTTACAAATCTTTTTTCCATGTTTGGAAATAAATCTGGTCTCAATTTTCAACATTTTTGCAAAAAAGATGTTTAAAAACAAAATTGGGCTATAATACTTTAGTAATTTGCATAGTTAATAAGGTAAAACTATCAGGTTTATAATTTATATGTATTTTTCCATACTAAGAACTTTATCGATGTTAATATTTTGAGATTAAAATTAACTCTACCTGTGGATCCAAACTGGAGAACACCAAATCGTGCCAGAGCGTCTATGACGTACACCATGTTGGTCACCATGGACGACAGGACGTCAACGTTGCTGTCGTTAAACAAGGTGACGATTTGCAGTTTGGTAGAACTAAACTTAACACCTGAAAATATTTAATTTTGTAGATTTTGTCACTCAAACTCTCTTCCTCTCTAGCTAGGGGGGGGAGTATAGGGAGAACCGCCTATATTTTAAAGACTTTAAGTTTTGAAAATTGTATTTTTTTGACAGTTTTGGTTTTCTTTTAATGTATATTATTGTCACAGAATTTAATTTAACTTTACACGAATTTTGTATATTAATTTCATTTTTGCAACCTATTGATATTCTAAACTTAGATTATTTGATCTATGAGAGAATTCATAGTTTGAAAAATCAAAGATAAAAAGTTTAGAAAATAAGAGTTTGCGGCAAAGACTCGATTTCGTTTACAATTTCACTAATTTCTAAAATAATTTTGAGATTTCTTCTTAAAGGAAAGTCTCCAAGTTAAAAAAAATGGTAAGATATAGATAATAATTACTATCAGAGGCGTATACAGTGGCTGAGCCCCTCCCTTATAGAAAGGTTACGCCCCCCCCCCTCTCTCTCTCTCTATTCAGATTTATGTTCCTATTCTTACAAGATTCAGATCCATTGCAATCCAATCTTAACAAATACATCCCATTCCATTACAATTCATTCCTTTCATTCCATTCCAATCCAATCTTACCCACTCCATACCATTTCTTAATAATTCATTCTATTCATTCCATTCCAGTCCCATCTTAACCAATTCATCCCATTCTTTTATAATATATTAAATTCATTCCATTCCAATCCAATCTTAACAAATACATCCCATTCCTTCACAATTCATTCAATTCATTTCATTCCATTCCAATCCATCCTTAACCACTCCATATCATTCCTCAATAATTTATTCTTTTCATTCCATTCCGTTTCCATATTAACCACTACATCACATTCCCTTATAATTAATTTTATTCATCCAAATCCAATTCCATCTTAACAAATGTATCCCATTCCTTTCCACCCTGTGACAACTACAAGGCCCTGTAAGGCCAAATTATTAATGAATGGAAATAGTTGTTTCTCGTTTTCTAAATATAAATAAAAAGTCTTTTTTTTTTTATGAAATTTCGAAGAATAATTAATGATCACGGTTTTTGAAATAGTTTAAATTAGTTTTTTTTTACAAGTAAATTAACATGCCTTGAGGGCTGCCACTTATTGTTAAAACTAGATTTGATTTAATTGTTTACACCTCTACTTTACATGTGTACCTAATCTTGAAGATGGGTATGTAGAACCGTTTACCTTTACAAGCGTGTTTCTCACATTGTTTACTGAATCATATGATAATACAACCCCCCTCCTTGACAAAAACTCAAAATTGAGGAAAATAGATGAGTTTTATGTAAAATAATTTATAGGGGACGTATAAGCACTGCAGCCGTTAGTGGGTTAATTTTAAGTCATTGCCCAACAAATGGTTGCCATTAACCACTTATTTAAAAAAAGAAAAAATGGTGAAGAACTTGCTTCATTCTCTAGACTGAAGAGAACTTGGACTATTCCTCCTTTTTCTTTAAACTTTCTTTTAAACTTAAATTGTCAAAGGCTTTAATAAAAGAACTGATTACTCGCGTCATACTCAAATTGTCTAACCCCTTTATCATTTCAACATTTAGAGATAGAAAACAATGGTCTCTCAACAATTGATAAACTATCAGAGTTTAAAGGGATTATTAGATAATTATTTAAATGGAGGTTCATTCTTTAGCTAACAATCATTTTTTTTTAAATTAACTAATAATTACCTATTATTTTGATTAATTCATGAAGCCCTGAGGCTAGAGTTTTTCTTACATATGGACTAGGATCCGAGACAAAATCACAGAAGGTTTGAAGAAGTTTCTCCGTAAAATTTGCAGCTCCGACAAAAAGTACCATCCCTGGCAGGTTGAAGGCACAAGCCTGTCTACACTCAACATACTTTTCACACTTATCATCAACAGTTTTAGGTACTAGATCCGGCATTGGTCGAGTTGGATGGGTGGTTTCATTGGAACCAGTAGTTCCCAGTCTTGCTAGTTCCTGGTAGAACCCTAGGAACCAATTCTTTTGCTCCGGACTTAGGTTCGGGGTTAGACCATGGCAGAGACGACCAAGGTGTCGGGCAATAACTGGAAGACTTGAATCGTCAAGCGTCTTGGCTTGCTCACAGGATTTGATGACTAAAGGAACGATTGTGTTGTTGCAAACTTCGTCGTCTAAAAGGCTTAGCAGATGGACGACGGTTTCTATGGCAGAGAGACGAACATCACAACTTTCGTCGTTACTAAGTTCGACAAGAACTGGTAGGACGGCCGATTTGGTAAGTTCTAGTCCAACTCCACGAGCGACAAAGGCTAGCTGTCGACACATACAGTTTCTAACTTCGGATTCGACATCTTGACAGAGCGACAGGGTGGGAGGCAGGACCTCTTGTCGCACACCCAGTTGATCTAACTTGGTCGACAATTTCCCCAATATCTTGCAAGAGGCCATTCTTGAGAAAGGTGGCTGAGACATCTGACTTTTATTTATTGCAATTGTGATAATTTCTTGTTTAATAACTTCAATAGGAAGAAGATCAATAGCATCCAGTAAGGTTTCCAACCATGCATTGGCAACTACAGGATCTCTGCTATCTAGTGATGTAAGAATACCCCGGAGAAAGGTCTGTGTAAAACTACTGGACTGCTCCTGATGGTAGTCCAGTCCATGGACCTGGGGGCTCATACAGTCCGTCATCTGAACCGGAGTCACATACTGCGGATTCCAGACTTTATTTTTACCAGTGTCTTCTTCAAACCCGAGGTCCAGATCGTATTCACTGTAAACATCAAATCAAATATATGAACAGCTCAGAATTACAGTGAGAACCAGGAAACAGAGGAATTTTCGTGGTCTCCTTTTTTATTATGAAATATTGCTAAGGATTTTGTATTTTTAACAATTTCTAAACTAATGCCCAAAAGTATATTTAATGATATTTATTTAAATAGACGTTGCAACAATTGTAAAATTTAGAACAAGCCGATTTTTTTATTTAGTAATTTTAGTCATTAATTTTTAGAAAGAAAGAATGAAAATAACAACAAAAACTCTCTATTTGTTTTTAACATCTTAAACTGAAATTTACTACCCCCCCCCCCCC